CCTTAGGTGTATGTGGCTGGCGCCTTAGCCACTTGAGCCACAGGCGCCAAGCCAAGAGGCACTTTCTAACCAAAGCATGTCACAACTCCGCAAGTGCCACTGGGTGACCAAGGAGCACCAAACAATGGTGGGTCCTGGGACTAGGAAATGAGTGAAGAAGCTTCCCAGCTATATGAGGGGAGCCAGGCTCCCAGAGCAGCTGCTAGTGAGGTGAAGGCCTCGTGCCTGTTTATACTTATTCTAGACCCCAGGGGGCCTCCCAACAGATGCTGACATCAGGGTCTGAGAACCCCACTCCCAACCCCATCTCTATGCCTAGGATTTGAAGTTCAGGATCTTAACCAGCAGAGTGGAGAGCAGAGTAGCTGTATAACCCAGCCCTGGCCTGGGCCTCTGGGAAGAGAGAGAACAGCTCCACCCTCCCCTGCCTTGTTGCTCTCATCCCTACAGGCTCCTGGTGACCCCACCCTGTCCCCCAGGCCCTGAACATGCTGATGCATTTGGGCAGATGGCCTCCATCAGGCCTGGGGCAGGGAGTGACCCAGAGGCCACTGCCCCTACTTTTCCAGCCTGGGACCACCCCCCACAACTGGCACCACATGTGGCACCCTGCTTTCTGTCTGCAACTGCCAGGGCAGAAGCCCTGCCACTAGATCACTTGGCAAGGACCAGGGATGCAGGAGGACAGGGGGTGATCTCAGTGGGGATCGATCTGCCTGCCTCACTGTGACCAAGAGGTAGACAAGGGAAAGGACCCTGTCCCTCAGCAGCATCCTTCCCAGAGCCAGGGACTATAGGGCAATGCCTTGGGGACCAGGTCTTGGCCTGGGTCCTACTCTAGGGGTCTAAGGTGGGAACACAGCTTAGCGCCAGGGAAAGCACAAGCTCTCCAGGCCAGCCCTCCTGCCATGCCCCGGGCATCAAAGCAGAGCCCTGCTCCCTGGGGACAGAGTCTGATACCACCCTCAGCCCCAACAGGATTACCTGGCAGGTAGATGTCAGCAGGTGGACCAGGCTGGCTGCAGCTACAGTGCTCGGGACTACTGTCCTGTAAGACATTCTCAATGGATGGCACTCGGCTCCCTGCAGCAGGTAGAGGGGCAAAGTCAGGGACAGCAGGCCCCTGGCTGAGAGCCCAGGAGCCTGGCTCTCTTCCCCAAGAGCTCTGGAGCAACTATGAAGACCCACCCCAAAATCTGACCTGCTCTCCAGGGACTCGAAAAATGGATACTTCCTTTTCTTCACTTTCCCATTCCCAGCCAGGGGCTTATTTTTATTATAAAAAAGTCACATATCCATGTTTCAAATGGCAACAGGTGCTAACAGGGCTGTGCTCGCCCTTGCGAGCAACCCACACTGGGAACAATGGGACCTCGGAAGGTGGGCACTGGTCCTGCCCCGCACATCTTTAGCCCTTCTTGGCACTTTGTAGTAGGGCTGAGGGTGTCTACATGGGCAAGGGTCCCTCTGGCAGAAGAGGGCTGGCCCAGCATTGCCTACAGCCCCCACCACCCAGCAAGCCAAGCCACCTGGTCCCTGCATGCGTGTCTACACAGACAGGGAGCCCTGAACTCCTGCTGAAGCGAGAAGGAAGAAGCTGTGGCCCTGTGAGGTGGAGGACTTGCTCAGTGCCACAAAGCTGAGGACTTTTGGCACCCAGAAGAGAAATGCAAGAGGATGAGACATGGAGGAGGTGCTCCAGATGATGGTACTGCTTCCAGGGAACAGGCACCGCACCCCAGGCCCCTGCTTACATCCACATCCCCAGCCCTAGAAGCTTTTTTTAGAGACAAGTCTCACTTTATTGCCCTTGGGTAGAGTGCTATGGCATCACAGCTCACAGCAACCTCCAATTCCTGGGCTTAGGCCGGGGGTCCTCAAGCTTTTTAAATAGGGGGCCAGTTCACTGTCCCTCAGACCGTTGGAGGGCTGGACTGCAGGCCCCAGGACAAGTCGGCTGCTAAGCAGGACAGGCAGCAGTGGCAAAACACCTGGTGGGCCAGATAAATGTCCTAGGTGGGCCACATGTGGCCCGTGGGCCATAGTTTGAGGAAGCCTGGCTTAGGCGATTCTCTTGCCTCAGCCGTCTGAGTAGCTGGGACTACAGGTGCCCGCCACAATGCCCATCTATTTTTGTTGTTGTTGCAGTTTGGCTGGGGCTGGATTTGAACCCACCACCCTTGGTATATGAGGCTGGCACACTATCCACTGAGCCACAGGTGCCACCCAGCCTGGGCTCTTCTTAAGGTGGACAGGAGCCCTGGCTCAGCAGCTAGAAGATAGGACCCACACATGTGGCCAGGGGGCTACCCTCGGGGGGCACAGGCCACCACAGCACAGTGGCTATGCTCTATTTGGTACCTTCATCCTACTGCTGGTCTTGAAGCCAGCCAAGGCCACATCCGGGCTCTGTCAGGTAAGTGGCCTTGAGCCTCCCTGAGCCTTGGTTTGCCCACCCATCCCATAGTGGCTTTGAGGCTGGGAAGGTCTGGCTCCCACCCAGAGCCATAGTCCCACACTGTGAGTAGCAGCTGGGACTCAAACCCTGCAAGGCACCTGCACATATAGGCCCTCCACTAAAACAGAGTGGGGAGAATTGAGCGTCTCCAGCCATCCTTGTTTTCATTCTTTAACAGGCACCCCTAGTCACCAAAACCACAAAACAAACAAGAGCAAATTCTCCTCCCTCTGCGTGGCAGTTCTGCCCAGAAGGAGGCGAGAGACCCATCCTGTCCACAAAGGACAGGCAGAGGTTGAACAGCAGCCCAAAGCCCCTGCCAATGACAACTGAGGACGAGGCCAGCAGCAGCACACAGACTGCCCCTAAGAAGCAGGGGACAGACAAGAGGACACCTGCTGTCCTAGAACCGCAAATGCCTCTGGGAGGCTTACCTTGCTTTAGTGATGACGACTCGTCCACCTCTTCTGTTATGAAACTCTAGAGAACAAAGAGGAAAGTCCACTTGGAGCTTAGGAGTCAGGGCTGGTGGCCAAAGCCTGAGACTAAGTGACAAAGATGACATACAGAGTGGTGGCTGGCATGCCAGGCCACACCA